CTGGAGTTACAGGTGGTCCCAAGCTGTCAAATGTGCATGCTGAGAACAGAACTTGGTTCTGTGCAAAAATAACAGGTGCTCTTAACCAGTGAACCATGCTTCAGGCCCCTCAATTATCTTGTTAATTTACAAACATTCACTATTATGGACTTGAAATGTTTCACTGAGGAAAGCACCACATGAACATTAAGAGGCTAGTTCAAGTGATGCTAATCATCTTCTATAGACACTTCTGGAATCTGATCAGATGATCTGATTATTGTTTTCTTCAGTAAAGGAGTAAGTCACAAAACAATTCCACACCAGTTTGGAATTATGATTAATAAAAGAATTATTTATTTAAAGGAAAAACTTACAGATCACCGTCCTAGACAACAGCCCTCTGTACAACCAGGAAAAGTGTCTGTTAGTCCGAACGGAGTCCAAAGTAAGAAAGCAAGAGCATGGCTACTGCTGCTTTTTCAAGCTAAAGAGACCACGCCCAAGTGGGCTTGTATCTTATAGGCTATTGGTTGAAGGAGCAGAAGGAGCTCCCGCAGCACTTCAGAGTAATTCTTTTCTTTATTTATATTTTTAATATACTGTACAAGATTATATCTTAATATTTTATTACCGTTGAAGTTGTTGTTACTAAAATTTTAGGTGGAGCTATATATTTATTGAAAAAATCCTCAGTATGGAAAAAGGATTCATGAAAGACCTATATTTTACTGATTTTAACAAAATAGCAAAGAAGCAGCCAAATTGCAGTTCTTTTCTCTGTCTTTAGAATTAGAATAAATAAATTAAAGGCACCAACTACATGAACAAGATGATTCCTGGAATTGCATCATGCATTTTATGATCTGTGCTGTTGATATGCTGGATTCTAATCTCCACAAAAGGGTCATATAAATGGTTAGTTCTAATAAGGCTGCTGTGAGCATCATTTTATCTCTCTGCCTAACTTGCTTGGTGGTCAGGGAGCCACTGTGCACTTAGTCCAGTCTTTGGAACACTAACATTGAGGATTCCTCATGCTGGCACATGGATAAACACGATGTGCTCTCTGACCCACAACTCCATTGACTGCACTGGCTCTGTATTTGTAGGGTGACAGAAGCTGTCACAGCAGGAACGCCAGCATGACAGACTGATGGGTACCCTGTATGCTCTGTTCTGACTGGAAGGCCATTTTCTGTCTGAGACAGACCTTCTATAGGAAGAGATTGCTCCCCTGTGACATTTCCGGAAGTTAGAATTTAAGAAAAATGTAATCATGGTTCAATGTTTAAAATATAATCTAGATAGTTTTATTGACACTTCATGTTTTCTTGAAGGTGAAATTAACAAGTTAAACTTGTTTCTTTCTAATGCATATGACTGCATGTTGGTATACACACATGCTTCCCCTCTTACTGACCCCTGACCAATTGTTCTTTTACTATACTATATTTGAAATTTATTTATAGGAATGTTTTCATCTGCTCAAAAGAAAAACTTCCATATTTGACCACAGCATTTTTCACAGTGCATTCATGTCAGAAAATTTCAATAAAACATTTTTCTTTCTTTTTTCCAGGTTTATTATTATTATTATTATTAAAAATTTTCACATCCTCCCCTCCTCTCATTTCCCTCCCCCTCCCTTCATTCCCTCACCCCTCCCTCTCTAGTCCAAGAGCAGTCAGGGTTCCCTACCCTGTGGGAAGTTCAAGGTTTTCCCCTTCTCATTCAGGTGAGCATCCAAACAGACTAGGATCTCCCAAAGCCATTTTTTTCTTAATATTCCGTGTTGTACCCACCTCCACTCACTAGGGACTGTACCTCTTTGGGCAGACTTAGGAGTCTCCTGTCTTTCTCTCTGAACCTCTAAGTCTTTCTTTAAACATTGTCTCCAATTCTTTATCTTCCACTGACTGGAAGAACTGTTTTCTATCAGGGAACCACAGCATCACACTAGGATGGAACTTAGGTGGATGAACTTTGTCCTCCACACTGTCCCAGTTAATTCTTTCCTGTAATACCTTTCACCCTTTCCTTTTAGTCCATATTCATCCCTTTGTTACTCCTGCTAACCCCTGAACAGCTCTCAAACAGAGACTAGAGATACAAGAAACATGTCTTAAGATAGTAAAGGTAATTTACAGCAAGACCACATCACCTTAAATAAAAAGAAATTCAACTCATTTGCACTAAAATAGGAATAATACAAGAATGCCTATTCAATATAGTACCTATATTGTAGGACAATAAGAAAAAGAGGAAAGGAAGAAATCAAAACATTCTAATTTGCACATGATATAATTTTGTTCATAAAAGAAAATAAAGACTCTACCAGAAAAGGTCTATAACTTCTAAATATTTCCAGCAATGAAGTAAGAAGAAATTAAAACATAAAATCACTAACCTCCCAATATACAACTGATGAGCATACAAAGAAAGAAATCAGGAAAACTGTGCCTTTCAAAATAGTCAAAAATAAAAAAATGGGAAATAACTCTAGCTTAGCAAGTAAAGACTTGCATGATATAAACTTTTAACATGTTGAAGAAAAAAATTGAAAAATATACCAGAATATGAAATGAGCTCATGTTTTCATGGACTGATATGATTATTATTGTGAATAATGGCCATACTACCAAAATAAATCTACAGATTCAATGTAATCTCCATTAATATTCCAACAAAATTCTTCATAAAATTTGAAAAAACAATAGTCAACTACTCATGTAAGCACACATAATCAAGAAGAGAATAGAAAAAACAAAAAGAAGAAAAAAGAAAAACAGGATAGCTAAAACCATGCTGAATAATGAAATGAAAGACCCACTAGAGGCGTCATCATCTCAGATTTCAGCTTGTAGCAGAGATCTTCATTAACAAAACAGCTTGATATGGGCATAAAAGCAGGCATGTTGGTCAACAGAATATAATTGGAGAGCCAGACATAATTCCAAGTGCCTATAGATGCTTGAATTTTGACAAAGAGGACAAAAATACTCACTGAAGAAAGGCAACACATTCAACACACTGAATGGCTGCATGTAGAAGAATGCAAATGGACTCATATATATCTTCCTGCACAAAACTCAAATCCAAATGCATCAAAGTCCTCAACCTAAAGTCAGATGCTGGAATCTGAAAGAAAAAGGTAAGCAGTAGGCTTGAAATCATTGGCACAGAGGAGAAATTTCTAACCTGGATACCAATAGTGCAGGCATTTAGACTAAAAATTAATAAATGGGATCTCCTAAGTTAAAAGGCTTCTATACATCAAAGGATACCATTATGCAAGCAAAGGAGCAGTCTACAGAATAGGGCAGAATATTTGCTAATTACACACTTGGGAGAGAGTTGGCATCTAGAATAGATAAATAACTAAAACAACTGAACTTCCAGAAAACTAATAGCCAAATAGAAAAATGGAGCATAGAACAAAATAGAGAGTTACAGAATAAAACACAAGTGGCTAAGAAACACTTGAAAATTTGTCAACATCCTTAGCCATAAGGAAAATGCAAATTAAAACTATGTTGAGATTTCATCCCTTTTCATTCAGAATTGTCAACACACAATAGCACATGCTTGGAAAAAATGATGAGGGAAAAAGGAGACACTTATTTGTTGCTTGAGAGTGCAAACCTGGTACTGCCAATATGGAAAACAGTGTAGAGATTCCTCTGGAAATTTGAAGACTGTCTATCACTCTTAGGCATATATCAACAGACTCTAAATTTTACTCCAGGGATACTGCCTCATCCATGTAACCATAATAGTCTAAAATTAGAAACAGTCCAGATGTCCATCATAAGATGAATTGGTAGTAAAAAGATGATACATTTCCACAATGGAAAATAATTCTCTATTATAAAATTATGGAATTTGTTGGTGAATGGGGTGGGGCTAGAGTGAACCATCTTGAGTGGTGTAATGTAGGACCCCGCCTTCCTGTGGATACCCACAGCCGATCCAGGCGCGCGCTTTCCCAAACTCGGGCCCACAAGAATGGACGACTGCCCTGAGGGTTTAAAACAGACACACACAAAAGAGACCTGCTCACTTACCAAGAGTAAATGGCCACTTTATTAAACTCAAGTCGGGTATTTATACCAGTGGGCAAGGGGGATCAAAAGGGCAAGGCCTCCTCCCATCAGGAGCAGGAGAAGGAGATTGAAGGCCCTGGTGCCTCAGGCAGAATCAGCTGGGGGAGGCAGGCTATGGGCCCACTGCTAGAACCTTGATTACAGGTGGAATCACCATAACAAAGAGAGCCAAATTCTTCCTAAGCTATCCCCTCAAGCCAGTGCTAGTGCAGAATCTCCAGGGAGCTGAAGGTCACATGGCCCTGCGAATCGCCAGGAAGAAGGGAAAAAGACCTTGGTACCTACAGTGTAACTTAGACACAAAAAGGCAAATACTACATGTTTTTTTCTTATGTGCAGATGCCAGTTTTTAAACTTTATATTTGTGTTTCAATCCAAATAAACATAGAAGTCAGGTAATTAGCAAGGGGCCTGGAGGTTTGCTGGATGTTCAAAAGAAGGAGTAATGCAATATAGTGTTATAAAAGAGATAAAGAAGAAACTAAGGGGATTAAATGTAGAGGCAGCTGTGAGGACAGAAAAAAGAAGGCAATATGGTATGGGATAATTAACAGTAAAAGCCTTTGGCAAAGCAGTCTGGAAAGCTTTTTAAATTGTAGAAGCTTCCTAAATTGAATACTCTAGTGGTTCTCATTCTTCCTAATGCTGAGACCCTTTAATACAATTCCTCATGTTGAAGTGACTCCCAACCATAAACTATTTACATTGCTACTTAATAACTGCAATTTTGCTATTTTAATGAATCATAATATAAATATTAGATATGTAGAATATCTAACATCAGACTCAGATGAATGGCTCATTTCATAATCCCCATGGATGTTCATAACCTTTGGTATATACATATAAAAGGAACTTAAATTCAATCATAGTATAATGAAGGAGAAATGTCCCAAATAGATTTTTTTCTTTTCTCATAGTGTGAAACACTTCATGAATTTGTGTATCATCTTTGTACAGAGGTCATGCTGATCTTCTCTGTATTGTTCCAAATTTAGTATATGTCCTGCCAAAAGAAACACATCAAATAGGTACCTTATGCCAAAATTAAAACTTCCAGTGCCCAAAATGTTTTATTGTAACCAGTCCCTCAACCATTCAGTCCCAAAAAAACACACAGAGGCTCATATTAATTATAAATGATTTAGCCTATTAGCACAGGCTTGCTATTAACTAGCTCTTACAAAAACAAACAAATAAATAAATATGTCATAAAAAGAAAATTAAAGACTTGCTAGAAATTAGTCAAAATGAATGTACAACGTATTCAAGCTTATGGGACAAGATGAAAGCTGTGCTAAGATGAAAGCTCATAGGACAATGTGCCTTCATAAAGAATTAGGAGAGATCTCTTACTAGCAATCTTACTAGAGATCTCTTAACAGCATACTCAGAAGCTCTAGAACAAAAAAAAGCGATGTAGAAGGCAGGAAATAATCAAACTCAGGGGTGAAATCAATAAAATAGAAACAAAAACCAAATAATATCAAGAATTAATGAAACAAAGAGTTGGTTACTTGAGAAAATCAACAAGATAGACAAACCTTTGCCCAATCTAACTAAAAGGTGGAGAGAGAGAATATCCAAAATAACAAGATCAGAAAAGAATGGGGGATTTAAAAACAGACACTGAGGAAATACAAAGAATCGTTAGCTCATACTTCAAAAACCTTTCATCTTGTCCCAGCTTGAATATGTTGTGCATTCATTTTGACTAATTTCTAGCAAGTCTTTAACTTCTTTTATAAGAGATATTTACTTATTTGTTTTTACATGACAATCCCAGTTCCCCTTCCCTCCTTTATTTATTTCTGCCTTCACTCAGCAATCACTCAGTAGAGAATTGTTCAGTTTCCATGAGGTTGTAGACTTTCTGTTGTTGTTGGTTTTTAGTTTGTTTTTAAAATCCATCTTTAATCTATGGTGGCATGGTGGTCTGACAGGATGTAGGCACTTATTTCAATTTTATTATAACTGTTGAGACTTGCTTTGTGACTAAGTATGTAGTCCATTTCGGGGTATGCTCATGAGGTGCTGAGAAGGTGTGTTCTTTTGTTTGTGTGAAATGTTCTCTGAACAGATATCTGTTAGATAATTTGGTTCATAACGTCTTTTAGTTCCAGTATTTCCTGTTTGATTTTTTTCTGGATGATATGTTTATTGGTGAGAGTAGGGTATTGATGTCTCCTTCTACCAATGTGTGAAGTTTAATGTGTGATATGATGTATGCTTTACCAGTGTTTCCTCTACAAACATGGGTGCCTTTGTGTTTAGTATATAGATGTTAAGAATTGAAAAAATTATCTCGTTGGAGCTTTCCTAATATGAGTGTCTTTTTCTTTCTCTTTTGAATAATTTTGGTTTGAAGGCTATTTTTGTTAGACATTATTGTGGACACAACAGCTTGGTTTTTCGGTCCATTTGCTTGAAAAATCTTTTTTTTTTCAGTCCTTTACTTTGAGGTAATACCTATCTTTGATGTTGAGGTGTGCTTCTTGTATACAGCAAAGGGATGGATCCTGCTTTCCATAAATTACGTTAGTCTGTTTTATTTTTTTAATTGGTGAATTGAGTTGGTTGGGAGGTGTTACTGAGGAATGATTGATAATTACTGTTATTTTGTTAGTGGTTGGGGGCTACTGAATGTATGTGCTTTCCTTCTTTTGATTTTGCTTGTCCGTGTTTTTTTCCTTGTGTTTTCATGAATGTAATTGACCTTTTAGAGTTGGCATTTTCATTCTAGTAATTTCTATAAGGCTGAATTAGTGGATATATGTTCTTTAAATTTTAGTCTATTATGGAAAATCTCATTTTTTCCATCTATGGTATTGAAAGTTTTGCTAGGTATAGTAATCATGGGTGGCGTATGTGGTCTCTTAGAGTCTGAAGGACATCTGTCTTTGCAAGCACTTCTGACTTTTAGAGTCACGATTGAGAAGTTTGGTATAATTCTGATATATCTGCCTTTACATGTTACTTGGTCCTTTCCCTTGCAGTTTTTAATAGTCTTTCCTTGTTCTCTATATTTGATGTTTGTCAGCATTCAGGCATTATGCTAGTTGGTCTACCTTTTGGGACCTAGCAAATACATCACCAACCACAGCCACTCCCTACACTCATGAGCTTGTTAGCATTTCACATATCATGCTAGTTTACCTCCAGGGTCAAAAGCTGTAGTCACTAAAAGAATCCCCCGAGCATATGCATCGACAGCATATGCATTGACAGCATATGCATTCAGCCACATACCTGGCCAACCCAGGGTCCTATGTCTGCTACATCACTGTGTAGTCTGTACACATGTGCTAAGACGCCTCCAAAAGTGAGCTCCACCCATTCCCCCTCCCTTTTCCACCCCTCCTCTGAAGAGGCAGGCAAACCTTTGCACCTCTCCCTTCCAACACCCCCATCCCTTTTTCTCCAACAAACTTCTAATATGAGAGTTTGTTGAACGGTGAGATTCGTTCTTACCAGCACTAAACTGAAACAGTGTTTTGATTATTATGGGCAAAGGGACATTCATTAACGGCCTAATCTATTTGGTGCTACGTATGCTTCTTTTAACTTTGTTTGCATCTACTTCTTTAGGTTAGGAAAACATTCTTCAATGATTTTGTTAAAAATGTTTTCTGGGCCTTTGAGCTAGGATTCTTTGTCTTCTGTGAATCCTATTTCTTTTAGGATAATTTTTTCAGTGTCCTAGATTTGTGGATGTTTTGTGTCAGGAAATTTTCAAATTTAACATTTTCTTTGACTGACATTTATTTCTTCTATCATATCTTCAATACCTAAGATTCTCCTTTGCATCTTATATTCTGTTGGTGATATTTATTTCTATGGCTCTTGTTCGCTTACCTAGATTTTCCTTCTCCAGAATCCCCTCAGTTTGTGGGGTTCTTTAACTTCTATTTCAATTTTCATGTCTTGTACAGTTTTATTAATTTTCTTCAATTGTTTTTATTTGTTTTATTTTCTTGGCTTTCTAGGCTTTAGAAAATTTATTAATTTCTCAAATTGTCTTTTCTTTGATTTTTTAAGGAATTTATTCATTTCCACTTTTATGATCTCTCTCATCTTTATAAAGTTAGTTGTAAGGTCATTTTTTTGTGCTTCAGCTGTTTTGGAATATTCAGGGATTCCTGTAGTAGGCTATCTCGGCTCTGATGCTGACAAGTTGCCATTGTTGCTGTTGATTGTGTTCTTATGTTGGCATCTAGGCATCTGGGTTGGCGATGCCCATTTCTGAATTTGTTGAATGAGTGGATTTTTCCTTTGTTTTCCGTTTCTCTCTAGTCTTCAGGCTGGAATGACCTGTGGTTGACTACAGAGTCTCTACCTAAGTTGGGGGCTAGATTTTGGGGGTTTGAAGCATCTTGTTTAAAAATGAAATAAGACATTTTATGTAGTAGTATTTCTCTCCAACATTTATTTCGCTGATATGATGTTTAGAATTCCTCAAAAATATATCAACTGGCTGAACATTAGAACACAAGTTATAATTTCAATAAAAATCATTAAATTCAAATCCATAAGAATTCAAAAATGGAGATATAAATAATTTAGTATTTGATTAAGGGTGTACATTTGTATATACTTTTATGTTACATTTTCCACAAGATTCCAAAATTAATTTCTACATACCACAGAAATTTAGCTACTAATTGGCTACTTACTGTTTCTTAAAACATGTTTTGATTTTTTTAATTTCAATTAAAGATTTTCATTTAGTTTTGATATAGAATTTAAGTTTAAGTTTCATTATAAAATGTTCTTGATCAAATTTTTAAAGGTAGTGTTTACCACTGGACAAGTAGTCATCAGTGTGAGATTTGATTCAGTGGGATGTGACCAGAACCTTCAAAGGTACCAGGAGAACTTGGAGACAGTTTTATAGATGACACAATGGAATCGGCTTCAAAGCTAGAAAGGATTTAGGAATCAATACAATCCTTTCACTGCAGAGAGAAGAAATAAATGGGAAAGATAACTAAGACAAATAGTCTAAGAATTATTTATTTTGTTGAAAGAGAATTCAGGAGAATGCTTTCTAATTACAAATATGTACAGGAAATGATTGTGAGAATATTCTTTTGCTATTCAACACATCACATACAAACTCAATCACACACAATTGTCCATAATGATGATATCTAGGCATTCAAATCCAATGAAGGAAAATAGTAAAATTATGTTAGTAATATCAATCTTTAAAAAATAGATAATTAAGAACTCAATAAACTGACAGGTTCTGTGATAATTTGGAGAGCTTCAATTTGAACATCTATATTGTTTTCAGCATCCATAACACTATCTGACATTTACATAGCATTTTTTCAGATTTCAAAATATCCTTTTACGTATCTCAATAAAAAGGGACAAAACTTAATAAAATCGGTATTAGCATTCCATTTATTCTTTCTAGAAAATAAAGAACAGATAAATACAGTTTTACAAAATTATTAGTTAATAAACCTCAGGCAAGGAGAGATGCCAAGCCTGGGTAATATAGTTCACAATAAATGAATCAAAAATCAAGTCAATTGAATATAAACAGACCATGAAACTAAAGGAAGAAAATACATGCAAAAAAAGGAGAAAAATTTCAGTTGAGATGTTCAGCCTTATACATACATAGTAAGTGAAATGCTAAGTAATATTTTATGGATAAAAGAGAATTATATTTGGATAATTAGTCTTGACAACTTGCTACAAGTTTGGGTCCTCAAGTATCACCCTTCAGAACAGCTTGAAAGTGGCATCATTGTGAAGTTGAAGCCAGCAATCAGATCTGACAATTCACCTGTACAAAGTGATGCCATTTAAGATTGTAAGTGAAGAAACCTCTATTCCTAGTCACACCACGTATCCCAAATGCTTAATAAATGGTGTCAATACCTCATGAGGTTTAAAGTAAAGTAATAGAATAACTATGTTCACTCCTGGCAAGAAGACTCATCAGATAAGGATGCTGGCAACAATCCACAACTAAACAGTAGATGGAAAGATTCAACTCCACAAG